TTTTGTATATGTGAACGGGGGGCCACGGCCAGGGAGGTCGTCGGGGAAGGAAGGGGAAGGGAGGCGATGGGGCAAGGAGCGCCCTGGCAGCCGGCCGGGCGGCCGGCTGGCGGCGGCATTCCGTGGCGGCTTCCGCATCGATGGCGGGCCGCGTTGCGCGCCGCGTCGCAACGCCTGCCATCCGCCGCCGCCACCGCCACCGACCTCCCACACCGGTCGGCCACCTCACGTTTGTCAACTCGTATACCAACTCTTACTCTTCATTCAAGTCTTATTAGAAAGTTAGCTGGAAGGCTCCCACATCATCTTCACACTTATTTCATCTTCTGGGTGGTTCTGCGTGTAGTTGCTCATAAAACATCGCTAAAATGGCTCGTATATTTCTTGGGTCCAGCGAAGTCATCGAACTTCCTCACTGTCAATACTTTTGAATTTCTACAATCGCCGATTTTGATCTGATTTTCCTATACCGTCTGATGTTGATCGATTAAGAACAATTTTTTGGTTTTTTATAGAATTTTTTGAAACTGAAATCTTAAGAGAAGATGTCGGAGCATGCAGAGGAATCTGAAGACAGTGAAGGACTTCTTAAGGACGCTTTTGATGAAGATACACTTACACAGGTATGTGGGTTTACCCACCAGCCGCGCCAACCCACTCACGTGAAATGACCCACCAGAGGGAGGGCGGATGGGGGCAGCTGCACTACATGACTTTTTGGAACCATAGGGTCAACGTGGCTGAAGGGATTGTTTTTTCGGGAAAGTGACGAAATACGAATGAAATAGAAATGTAAATGTTCCCTCTTTCCCCTTCGTCTCCTTACTCAGGGACCCAGTGTGGGAAGGGGGCCTGGATGAAGCTTCTACACGTCCTTACAAAAGAAGTACTCGCTTAGAGGAGTCCAGTGATAATCAGTATTCCCATAAACGTTTTGAATTTCTTCTGGCAAATTTCTAGAGGTTTCTGGAACCTTCTCAGACTTATTTACCTGAAAAGGGACTTTGTAAATTTTCAGTTAAGCAGCCTGATCGCTTCCGGTAGGGGTGTACGAATGGACGAAACACCAGCGTTCAATATGCGTCTCATTGCTGAGGTAAGGTGCACTCAGAAAGTGATTTTTTCTTTCGGTCGAGTTTAATTTCATTCAAAATGGTTTCTGAAGGAAGATGAAAGTGAAAGGTTAAAAAAAAATCGAAATGGAGTTGAATTGTAAGGGTTTTGCCCTTCCTACAGCTATTTCCTCCTCCTTCGTCCTCTTCAGTCTTACGTCTTTCATCAGGACTGGGCTTTTTCCCTTTCTTGTTTTCCTTTCCGTTTCCTTTTTATTGCATCGTTAACATGATTTACTGCCAATGCCATCGCCCAATCGTCTACCCAATCTGTCGACAATGAAAAAGATACGTATCGATCGCACTTGTTATATAATGCCGTCAATCAATTATATTTGTTTAGTTACAGCCTCCCACACCGTTTTCACGACGATCACGTCATCCTCCCACTCCTCCTCCTTCTCCACTATGATTCCTTTACTGCCTTCACTTTTTCTAGGAATTGATCGTCCCGAAATGGCTTTTTGTTTTCTGAAGGCAGTCGGCCGTACTCCAAGAGGCTGACGTCTGGCATCTCCCGTCTACCCGAGGCCAATGGGTTCACTCAGCTGACGCAGCCCGGCCTCTGGTTTTTGCCTCCCGCTGGCCTCGGTGATCGAACTTTTTCGAGGGCTTCCCTTGTCCAATCTGCTCCTATCATCCGGAATTTCACCTTCGAATAGGACGTTGCAGTTGAGTGGGGCTACTGCAAGAAATGAAAAACCAAATGTCAATTTCCTACGTCAGTCGGTTTTTGCGACGTTCAAGGGCCTCAAAGGACCAAAGATTACAGGGGTGGGACCATAGTTCCAATCGAATTTCCTAAAAGAAAAAACTCACAATCATAGCCTCCCTCAGCCTTTTTTTAAAGGTTCTTCTTTTCAAAATTAACATCGATTCTGCGCACCCCCTCGTTTTTCGTGCCCGTACAGCAATAGGATGGTCAAGAGGAGAATTTTTTTGAAGGCAGTCGGTATGATGGCGTGAGTAAACCCTTTGTGGACACCATTTGGTTCGGAGAAGTTTGGAAGGGGGGNGGGGAGGGGGGCTTAGTGAATATTCACCATTTCTTAATCAATTCACGAATTCAAGGGGTACGCCAAAGAGCATAAAGAGTTCAGTGAAAGTTCAATTGTCCTTCTGGCTTATTGCTGATTTATACTTGTAAGTCTAGGTAGAGTTTACGTGGAAGAAATCACTGCAGAAAGAGTAAAACGTGAGCAATGCTTGGAAGTACGAAGCTTTGCTACTTCCAAGAGTGTTTTCCCATAAAAATACTTCTCAGAGGCAACGATCCCTATAGGAGACCTAGACTATTCCTCTTTCATCCAAACTTCTTCGATTTCCACTTCGTTCCTTTTAAGCATCCTCACATGACTTTTTTAGCAAATGGGATCGTGAGACAATGAATCTTTTGTCGAGCTTAACACCTAAGAAACAAAGCGTTTTCTACGTCGCTTACACGGAATATTTCAGTGTTGTATCTTCTTTACGAACGCAAATTCATCCCTTGAACGTTTAAAACCATTTCCGAGTGGAACGGGAGCAGACTTCCTTCCTGAAGCTTTTTCATCGCATTTACGACTTTAGACGCTTCACTATCTTTCGAAACTTCGTCATCGCAATCTGCGCTATCTTGCTTACTGCACGGTTGTCGGGTTTGCAGAAAGAAATGCAAGTGATGGGGGTTATAAAAGCCTTTTTGGTTATAAGTTTGTAAAAAAGGTCCTCGTGCGAATTCAACTTTCCCTTGAAGAAGTTTTCTCTCTTCGATTTGGGGATGTACAAGGTGGGAAATAGGGTGAGAGAGGAAAGCAGAATCACGTGGAAAATGCAGGTGAAAGAAAGAGTTTACAGATCACTCCCCTTGACGTCATGCTCGGCCCTGGACGAGAGGTTTCAATTTTCTTTCACTGCTTTCCTCTTCTCTACTCTATGTCGCAACTGAAGCGATTTTTGTCAAATACATATAATGAGATTGCTATGGCGTTATTAGAACGCATTTCTCGGTTTCTTAAGAAAAAACGATAAGGATGTGTCACAATGGTGGCTCGTTAGCCACGCCTCCTGCGGTAGCTCCGCCTTCGATTGAATGCCAATCCAAAACAGCTGATTTTTCAGCTGATCTTGCCGTCTGATTTGTCATCTGCCTCGATTAGAACGGCGTTTCTATTTTTCTTTTTCAAAACTGTGAAAGTTGGAGAGCTGCTGGTGCAGAATGCTCATCGCCTTGAACAAACAGCAAAACCGAAAGCTCACTGAGCAGTTTGGACGGTTTCACTTCATTTTTCTGAACTGCTGAATTAACCAACGCCTCCGCTCCAATTTCCGAAACCCCTTTATCAACATCATTTTATCGTGAAATGTGCCTTTAAAATGCCATAAAACCACTAGGCGCGGTATTGAATGGCCGTTTATGCCAATGGAAAGCGAAGGGAATTGGGATCTGTTTTTACACCTGAGAATGCCGTAATGGAACAGCTTAAATCTTGCGGTGGGCATGAGCAGGAGGCAGATCATTCGATGTCATCTCTTCTCTTTGGAAGCCATGTCAACTCCGCTCTTAGTATGCCTCCTAAGCCTTTTTTATCCATTGATGGTTCTGAGGGAAGAGGCGCAGACCACCTGCACGGTCGCGAGTTCGAAACAAAGCGGAGCGAACGAACTTCTAATTTCTGATCAATCCACTTGGCTGAAACACTAAGAAGAGCACTGAGTGGGACGGTAATTATTAGCTCAAACAGCTAATGTTGGAGGTGAACTTTTTCTTGATCCTATTGAGAAGTCGAGTAAATGGCGCATCTCAGAGGGTCGATCAATGCTATGGTTGATGGTATTCCACCAGAACCAGTAGAATCCGTCAGCCTCACTGCATTGTGCTGACATAGGAGAATCTTATCGCCATCTGGGAATCTATATATTGTGTGACCTCGCTTGATAATTAGAGGATAGGCCCAGTTCACTTACAGGTATCATCCGGAACGACCACCCAGGAGACGCCCGCTTATATGTCCAACGAACGAATATTGTTTAGGAACCCTACGTCAGCCATGCGGACTGATTCCTATGGGGATAAGAAAAGTAGATTAAAGGGTCCATCTGGTCCATCCGATCTCGTTGGAATGCATCCCCATCAAACTTTCGTTTTTGGTGAAAGGGATATGAGGATGATGCATAACGACTTGCATAAATAACGAAGTAAACATCCATGTCCACATTTTCATCCTTCCACATATGCAACACATTGATTATCCAGTAATGTGAAGGGACGGAGGAATCCCAATCAGTTCATGCGGGAAGTATGCCATCTCTCTGATCATCCGACAGGGCCGTGTCCCTAACCACTGCGCTACTTACAGCCGTAAATATGTAAATTCGAGAGCCTTTGGCTCCGGAGCGCTGCACTTTATTGCGAAGTGTTACTTCCAACTTCGACCCGAATACTAGCTCCAAACCGGATAAATGAGTAAAGGTCTGTGGGCATTGATCAATCCTGTCTGCGGAATGCGCACAGCGTCCGACTCCGACTCAGAATCGTAGTGGCGCATTGCATGCGCATATGGCCTATACAATGACTTGCGGTGGCCAGCCGATGTACAAGTCAGGCGAGTCTGGTACCAATTAACCGACTCCGAAGGAATGGAGGGCTTGGATAGCCTGGCGATATCGATCCAGGATTCGAACCAACGACCGTGCGTGTGAGATGCCAGTCGCCACTACAGCGCTTCCGCCCTCAGAGTTCTTCCCAAAATGGGTATTGTGTTCAACATATGTTTGTTTCAGTGGCTCTGCATTGTAGTTTGTACCACTAAGTGAATAAACAAGCAAACAATTGGTATACTTACCTGATAGGAGTAGTGAGCCCTCCTCGTACGCTATCTTCCAGAAGGGTTCACGAGATGTCTAATGTGGTCAGAGACCGATGGCCAAATGATCAGATGCTCAATTTCAGGTCAAATCTAGACGCTATCTTTACGATCACACCGATGAGGGATATAACCTTATTCCGTGGCGAAACAATGCATGGGTAGAAATTGCTGAAACGCTTGATTCTAGTCGTGAGTTTTACCCATCAAACTTCAGGGTCTTCGCCTTGTCACTGGGCGAACACGTGCTTGGACCCATTTCTTTTAGATTCTTAACTTAAGAAAAATAAACCTTGCACTTTACAGCTGAGCACGTGAAAACGCGATGGAAAACCCTTCGAGATCGTTTCAAAAAAGAAGAAAAGAAGGAGAAAATGACTGGGAAACCAGCCACATGGGTGTTTCAGAAACCCCTACGGTTTATACAAACAGTACCCAAAGAGCGACCGTAAGTTATATCCAATTGCTTTTTTCCTTTTTAGACGGGCTTATAGGTAATAGCCGATTTTTTGTATCTTTCTTTCTTGACTTGCTTTTGAGTATCTCTTGATTTTTTCGAAGTGGACCGAATTTTCGGGAAAATGGTCCCACTATCACCCGAGATGTAGAACTAGCCGTAAGTGAAAAAATTCCACGTTTTGATCTGTTCTAACTGCATGCGTTTGAAGGTAGGCGGGAAATTATCGATTAGGTGCGCGTAAAATCAATATTTATCCTTAAGTGCAGTTGTTAGGGAGCGTCCATTACAAATATTTCAAATATGGTCAGTCTTCCAAAATGGCTGTTGATTTTATTGGGATCTTGCCCGATGAGAGAATAACTGTTGGCATCTATATAATTTGAAGTTTACTTTAAAGTTGCTGAATTCCAGAGCTGATGATGTTATCATCAAGGATGAAGATAGTGGACATATTTCTCCAATGGAAACAGCGATATCCTTCATCAAACAGGAGATGAACCGAGCTGCTGAGGCGGCAGCCGAGCCATCCGCTACTGACGTTGTCGCGGATTCGCCATCTCTTACACCGCTATCAAACCAAGGTCTGTGCTTCAGTTGCGAAAATCTGAAAGCAGAACCATGCTCCTAGCCATTAGCGCGAGAACGGACCCAGCGAAATATTGCTGGTTCGTTCGATATCTTCAGACTCAAGTTTAACCACAAAGTCCCTTTCTAGATATCGCCCAAACCAAGCCCGAGCTCAATCGCCATTAAAATGCATGGCGCCATCGAAATAGCCAGCGTTGAAGAATTCGATTCGTTCCTTTTAATCGATCAACGTTTCAGATCCCTGCGATCTACCTCCACCAGAAAAACGGGCTCGATTTAGCCTGACAGATTCCATGCTCCCTATACCCCCTGCGTGAGTCTAAACCCCTACAGATTCTTTTCGACAGCAAAAAAGAGCCCTACTTCCAGTCGCTTCCTCGCTCCACCCATATGGCAACGAGTCGAGGATGAAGAGGAGGAGATGTTTGGTCATCTGGTGGCGCTTCGGCTATCGAAGCTCAACACAAAAGCAAGAGAACTGGCTAAGGTCTGCTTCAAAAGTCATTTGCAGAGCCCTCCCTACGAATTTCCTACTTTTTCAGATGCGGGTTCTTCAAGTGCTGTTCGATGTGCAGTTCGGTGGCACTAATTCCTCAACATGATCTCAAAATGAACGGAGAATTTCGGCGAACAGCTGCCCACACATTCAGTTGTTCGTTATCACTTTTGTGTTGTCTTAACATACGTTCTATTACATGATTTTTTTCGAGTTATGAGTTTTTCTAATAAAAATGTTTCTTTTTTTTCACACCGAAAACCATTGTTCGGGCATACAGAAGGTTCTTCAGATGGCTCGAGACCTAACGAAATTGGGGGTGATGCTGAATCCGAGGTGCTTCTGCGTTAGGGTCCAGGTACCGTTGAGTCGGTCTCCTGCATATCCTCTGTCTCCACCGAACGGGAGAAATATATCAGAACCCTTTATACACGGATTCCGAAATTACAGAGGCATAATTCATTCACGAATAAATAAACAAGTAAATAACATAGGCCAATTCTAAAAACGGCCTAAGTGGGGCGAAATAAAGAACCCAAAACTGGCTCAGCTGATGGGCACACCCAAAGGCGGACGAGTACTCATGGCATTGCAGAAGTTGTAGAGCATGCATTATTACCGCCGAGACATGTCGCACCCATGCAGCTCACTGTAGCCAGCTGTACGCAATGGCATCCATATTTGAACAGCTCGTCCAAATGCCTGTTCCTCTCAACTTTTGCCGTCACATTCACGTCCAACACCTAATTGTACTACTTTTTCCCTTCATATGTTCCTTCGAATGCGCCGAATATCGTGTTTTCTTCCCTATATTTGCACTATTATAAAGTATCACTTTCACTATTCCTCTGAAACTGGACACGGTAAAATTGTCGTGAACCGCCCGTCAGTATGACCTTCATTGTCGGCCTATGAAGACCGTAAAAGGGTTCAGGCCATGGTAGGGAGTGGGGGAGGGAATTTGCTGGAATAAAAAGGAAATATGGGCGTTTCCCTCCCGGAGAGTTCTTGGAAGTCTTATCTGCAAAGGTGTGCAAGGTTTTATGACTTGCAAACGATAATCATAGCAGTCATGTGTACGAAATAAGACAGAATTTGCTTGATCTGATAAGAAATGTCTGTCAGAAGAGGGAATCTTTGAAAAACCGCCAAAGTCGATTAAAAACCTAAAGTAGTTGCGCAAAGATTAAAGGAAAGGTCGGATTGCATGAAATACTGAGTGGAACTTGGATAGTCTCCATTAAAAGGAGCCTAACTGATTCAACTGCCTAACGCTCCGACTTGATCGCCTTCTTCATAGGACCTTGTCCTAGCCTTGGTCCTGAAATTTACCCTGCCAGGGGTACGAAGATTGATAG